GTTTGGTGAACAAGTAGCTCAATACGTTCTACTTTCAACAAGCAACTCTTGTTTTCTCTCATCTGTGAGACAGATTCATTCATATCTGTTTTTAGTGTTAATATACCTTGAATAATTTGTTTTGCCACCAAGTGGCATAAATTTTGACATCCTCTTCTATTGCAGGCCACAGAGTCCCTGGACTTTGAAGTTGCAGTTATATGTTAATCCCTAGAAATTATACTTTCTATAAATTTTGTGACTTTCCATAGATTAGGTAAAGTTTAGAAATTGAAGGAATAAGTAAGATTCAAAATGTACAATCAGTATTGTGAAAGGAAATGAAACTGCTCAAAAGGAAAGAGAAACTGAGATGGGAGAAAAGAGAAAAGGAGGAAGGAAAAAGAAAAAGTTTATATATATACACAAAAGATAGCTGAGGTAATTATACTACTAATTTTATTAGTTCATTGAAAGGCGTGGTTTGTGCTTATAGTGTTTGATCAACTTTGCATTCCTGTATCTAGTAATCTGAGCAACTATTTCAAAGATAACAATATGCACTATAATAACCATTGTTAATTTCCTATTATCTTGTTTTGAAATTCTGTATCATTTTTTTTATTTTTTTTCTCTTCAAAATAAAAAAAAAATCTCAGCTTTCTATACATTAGGATACTGGTAACCTTTTTATTTTTTTATTTTTAAATTTTTTTTATTTTAAAGAATAAAAGAAGGATAACATAATAATAGGGGGGACTTAGCAAATTACAGACAAAATGGTAGGAAATTATCAATGGTTATCGTTTTACATATTATTATCTATGAAATAGTTTCTCAGGAAAACAAATAGACAAATAATAGTGAGTTAGAGATAAAAGAGGTAGGAGATTATCAAGAGTTGTTGTGCTATACTTTGGTATCTTCAAAGTGGCTTCTAAAAAAAATAAATAGAGCTATACATGAGTGACCTATTGAAAAATCATTAACTATTCTCAATGGTTGTAGGAAACACATAATAATAAACATACATCCATTTATGAAATAGGATAGAAACATTACAAACTTTACACAGTTATGGATAGATTAGTAGGAAAATATCAATGGCTGCTGTAATACGTGGTGGTATCTTCAAAGTGGTTTCTCAGGAAGACAGAGATATGCAGGAAGGATCTAATAAGTAGTTACAGCCTAAGGGTTGTCAAAAATAGCATATTACCTCCTCACTGATACTGGTAACCTTATGTTTCTCATAGAATTATATGAAATAATTTTTTGGTTAATAGATCATATCATCCTCAATTATGCAGTGTATTGGAATCCTGAGTTTTCACAGAAACTTCTACTTTGTCTAGTGCCCTTGATGTTGAATAGTCTGGATGAAGCCATTTTAGCGTAGAACCTGCCATTTTATCACGTAGCGAACCATTGTTATCTTGCTTTTGGGATGCAGGAAAGGGAACTGTGCTGAATTCCAGTTAGTGTATAGATGCAGAATTTAGTCCTTTAAAGAGATTTTCTGGTTGTTACATTACTAAATCTTTCCCCTCAGATTTGGAGGCCAGAGACAGGGGCCTAAGCAGCAAAACCCTGTGCATGGAGAGTGAGCAGATCCTTCCCGATGGCTCCAAAGTGCGTCACTATGACGTGCACAGCCTGTATGGATGGTCCCAGACCAGGCCCACCTATGAGTGAGTTGTTCTCTGCCTTCTCTAGTTGATAGAATCTTTTGGGCCAGCCAGGGATGGGTATAGATTCTGTACTGTTTCTTTCACTTGTCATTCTAATGGTTAGGAGGAGTTCAATTATAAGATACAGGAAATCTTAATCATACAGACAGGCCCTATATGGCTGATAGGAACTGATAGGACTGATTTAAATAAGGAAATGGTCCCATGATAGAGATGCTAGTAATCCAGATGGGGACACACACAGAGGGACAGGAGTGATTACTACTCAATGCAGCCAGTCCAATGATAGGTTTAGTTAGAAGACTCAAAAGTAATGTGGATGGTAAGTGCCTCTCTGTTATCTCAAAAAGGAGAAGTCTCTACTGTTATTCTCCCACCATTCTTATAGAATAGTCCATGAATCTTCTGTTTCCCTAGCATTTTCTAATTTGTGAGGTCAATGAATAATAAATAGTATCTTCAGTAAAATTGTAAAGAGGAAATTGCCTCTTTCTGCCTCAAGGATACAACCAAATCCTGAGTAAATAAGTAGCAGATTTAGTGTTTGCTTATAATTTCAGGCTAAGCCAGTGTTTTACCGTCTAGTGAGCTCTTTGTGAAACACTGAAAAGATCAGCTGCTGTTATCTCCATCAGTCTGCACAACCCTAAGTTCCAGATGTTCATACTCTTGACCGGTCACTTAGCAACACTTCATCACATGCCCCAGGCACACGGGTTTTATAGGGTAGAGCCCTGTTGCCTTTCTTCTCCCAGTTTGGCATCATTTCATCTCCTTATTCTCCTCCAACCAGAGCTGTGCAGGAGGTGACAGGACAGCGAGGAATCGTCATCACCCGCTCCACATTCCCCTCTTCTGGCCGCTGGGCAGGACACTGGCTGGGGGACAACACAGCTGCATGGGACCAGCTGAGGAAATCTATCATTGGTACATAGGCCTGTTTCCAGGACTTGGTAGGAGGGAGGGAGGCGACATCCTCAGTGAGGGAGGAGGAGCAGGCAGGTCCTGATGCCTGCCTGACACAGATGTGGTTCTCATTGCAGGCATGATGGAGTTCAGCCTCTTCGGCATATCCTATGTAAGTGGCCTTCAGATTCTTCCTGACTGCTTACAGGATGGTGGCACCTTCCAGAAATGACCAAAGGCCTGTTTTGTTCTGTCTTGTTTCAGACAGGGGCAGATATCTGTGGGTTCTTTCAAGATGCTGAGTATGAGATGTGTGCTCGCTGGATGCAGCTGGGGGCCTTTTACCCTTTCTCCAGGAACCACAACACCATTGGCACCAGGGTAGGACCTCAGCTCCTGCTGCTTGTTCTTTTGTTTATTTTTTCCTTTTTTTTCTAACTTAAATTGCACAATCGTTTTCAAGCTAAGCTCATGCCAATTGTCTCCCTTTGAAATCGCCAATATTGTGAAAACTTCCTCTCAATGAGCCACATTATTCAGTATTGTTTAAATGTTTTTTTGGTTCAGAAAAATTCTTCCTAATGTATCTCATGAAGAATGTCTGATGGGCAAGTTTTATTTGCTCTCTGGGAGATGGCTAGTGATCCTTTCCAGTTTATTAAGAACCCTCTTGGAGTTTCACCTCTAGTTGTATTTAGTTTAGCTGTGTGTGAGCCTTGTGCAAAAGCATTCAATGGCTCTCTGAACTTTCCCAGTTTCCCACTCATGGACTCAGAATACTCCTTTTCCTCCTTTAGAGACAAGACCCTGTGTCGTGGGATGCTAACTTTGTGAATATTTCCAAAAGTGTGTTGGAGACCAGATACACCCTGCTGCCATATCTGTATACCTTGATGTACAAGGCCCACACAGCGGGCATCACTGTCGTGAGGCCTCTTCTCCAAGAGTGAGTGTCTAGCTGGGATCCTCCCCACTCATGGATAATGCATTTCTTTTTGAAATGTGGTTCTGGATACACAGAGTTTCTCCAAAGTGAAGACATGGTTTCTTTTTGTCATAAGGTCATGAGAGAAAGATGATGCTTTGTCCTTGTATAGGTCAATGTAGAAAAGGTATTTATCAAGTGAAAAATGTTCCCCAGGGATACAACATAACACAGCACAATGTCTCTGTCATTTGCCAGTTTGAAGATTTCCCTCCATCTTTTACCAGTTGGGTTCCATAGGCCTGTGCCTTAATGAGTTCAGTGAGCCAAAGGGGAAGTTACTTCGGTGAAGATGTAAGGGATGAGGGCCAACCTGGTGTGTAGCTTGAGCCATGGTGAGCAAATATATATCTGCCTTCAGAGCAGCTGGACCTGTGCAGAGTGGGCCACATGTTCTTGGTGACACTAGGAAGTGAGGATAGCAGTGGATTCAGCTAAAGCTCTCTCTGAGATTTGAACATGGAGTATTTCCTCAGGCCTTGGGCTCTGATTGTGACCAGTTCATTTTCCTTGCAGGTTTGTGTCAGACCGGGTGACGTGGGATGTAGACAGTCAGTTCCTGGTGGGCCCTGCCTTGCTGGTCAGCCCTGTCCTGGAGGCTGTGAGTGTGGAGGGCTGTGCTGGTGGGTGGAGGGTCCCGGCTCCCAGGCTGAGTGACTAGGAGAAGGAGAAGCAGGCAGGTGCATGACCCATCCTGAGTCATGCTCTCTTATTCTCCTTTTGTGTCTTCCTCTCCTGAGTAGAAGTGTATGGCTTAAGTGTTCTGGTATCAGCCTGCACTTCTTTCAATTCAGCCTAACAATCCTGGGTAGGACAGTCAGAAAAACAAACAAATGAACACCTCCAGAATAGCCTCATGATCCCTTTGAGAGGATAACATTTCTCCATTAAGTAAAATTTTGAGTAGAGAATTGGGTGGGTCAAGAATATATATAGAGTTTCTTACAATATTGTGTCACCATGAAACCCACACTTTGCAGGAGAACTACCCCCAGCCATGTATGTTGTTCTATTGCTGCTGGGGAGCCCTCCCTCCACAGCTGGCTGCAACAGCCATTTTACCACTTCTCTCTGAATCTCTGACATCTGCATATGATGCCATCTAATGATACCCTCGTATTGTACCTACATGTTCTGCTCCAGACCAACCTCAGGAGTTTCTCTTTTTACATAGGGTTTGGGCTAAATGTACAGTGCTGATATTTTCCTCTGAAGTTCTGGAATACAAAGAGCTTTGTTAGAGTCATTTGGTTTGTAAGCCAAGTTGCTCTGTGTGAGAAGGAGGAAGTTAAGTAGTGCTTCCTCAGCTTGGTCATTTCCATACCTAGAAGAAGTGGATCTCTTTCAACCAACATTGTTTGGAACCCTTTGTGTTCAGGCTAATTTTTTGTACTGAAACACATTGCTCACTGGCAGAACTTATTTGTGTTTAATTGCAGAATGCCAGAAATGTCACCACATATTTCCCTGCAGCCCGCTGGTATGATTACTACTCAGTAAGTTTTGTTTCTCTTTATACACGTGGGAAAATAGTAAAGACAGGGGCTTTAGATAGACAGTCCTAATCCAGTGGCTCCGGATCTACCTCCTGTGTGGTCTCGCACAAATCACTTTAAACCTAATAACCTCAGTTTACCTACCTGTAAATGGAATATGACCACCCATTCACAGAAGTGTCGCAAAATAAACTTAAAGTTTGTCTGTGAGGGCCTGGGTTGTCCTGAGTGTTCTGTGCATAGGAGTCTTTGTCTTTCCTTATAACATCACCATTCACAATGGTGTATAACCACCAACTAGGGAACTCTTAAAATTGTGGTATGAGCTATAGTTTATATTTTTTTCTTTCAAAGTAAGTTCCCAAGTACACAGTTTCCTTTGTTCTTATTAAATATGTTTTTCTATAACATAAATGTTTAAAGAGGAGGTGTCCTAAATAACATCCTAAGATCAGGAATGCATGAGGCAATGTAGAGAAGGCACTCAGATGTGTGGGGACTGACCTTTGCAATCTACGCAGTGCACATGCATTTCCCCATGAGGAGCCCACAGAAGCTGTGTTGTTTAGGTTCTGGTCTGGTGTGAGGCCCATAGGCCACTTTGATCACAGGTTCTTTGGTGGAGCTTTTTGAAAGTCTCTGGTGACACAAGAAGGAGTCAGAGTGTGACTCTTGCTGAAGGAAACAGGGATGTGCTTATCCTCTGTGTGTCCTCCTCTTCTGACTTGCTGAGTAGTCAAAGTTAGAGTACTTGATATTGAGCAGCAAGAGAAGAACAGAGCATCTGCAGCCCCAGTGTTCCAAACTTTAGCATCAGGATTGTATGAATACTGTGCAAAAAGAGTGGAAGTGGCTTTCTTCCTCTTCTCTGTCCTGTGGAGCCCTGGTTATGTTTGTCACTAATTCTTTGTAGCTAGGCTAAGTTTTTCCTTAGGCTGATTATATGTTTGTGCTTCTACTCAGGGCTCTCTGGGGACAGAGAAACCTACTTCCTTTAAGTGAGCTTAGCCTTAGCCTTGAGAACATTTGGCAATGTGTGGAGCTAATTTGGTAGTAACATTGGTGCAGGGGTATATAGACTTTTGCTGATGTCTAGTATATTAACACTGACAATGCTGCTAAACATGAAAAATCATAGAAAGTTCTCAAAGCAAAGACTTTTCTAGCCCAATATTTCAGCAGTGTTGACAGAGAAACTGTTATATTTGGGAAAATGTAGAAGGATGGTCCCTTAGAATTTGAGGTTTATGATTCTGGATAGAGAGCACTAATCATACAGGGAGCAAGGTAAAGATGTCAAATATGAAGGCAGATGCATTAAGTTAATGATAAGGTTGTGTAAAGTCAAGTGCTGTTTATCTTTTCTGAAATTGGAGTTGTTAGGCAGTTATGGTGATCGTGGGGCAATAAGGGTGTTTGAGATTCAGTAGATCATGGTGAAAGAAAAGATTTAGAAATGCCATAGTGAAGAGTTTTTTTTAGGTGCCAATAAAGTTCAACAAAGAGATTGTCTATCCTCTTCTACCAGTCTTCTTTGTTCAAAGACCATGTGCAGCTTGTACTAGAGAAAGCGCCAAAAGGCATGATTCCCTTAGCAGACATTACAGAATTAAACGCAGATGTGACAGCAGCAGAGTGAATGCAGGAAGTGTCCTAATAGGCATGTGCTGAGTGGCGGTGAATGGGCAGCAAGTTCATAGAGGTAGATGAGATGTCTGCCAGATGCACTGGTGGGGGAAGTGTGTGTCCTGTCCCTCATCCTCTCCTTTCCTTCTTCCCACAGGGTGTTGACGTTAATGCAAGGGGGCAGTGGAAGGACTTGCCAGCCCCTCTGGACCACATTAATCTTCATGTACGTGGGGGCTACATCCTGCCCTTGCAGGAGCCTGCGCAGAACACTAACCTAAGGTGAATGATGGACCAGGGCTCTGCTTTGCATACTGGTCTGCTCAGTAGTTCATAATGAATGCCGCCAATCCCTGAAGCATCATTCTCAAATCTAATTCAATATTCTAAAAATTTGGTTTTTGTCTTTTTAAAATTGGTTTTCTTTTTCACTGTTTTCAAAGCTGTTTTTTTCCTTATTTTGTCTGCTGAAGAGAGAATGTTAAATGCCATACAAGCCCTATGAAGGCTTCTGGGTGACATGTGTGTGTGTGCTTGTTGGGGGGTGTCATCAAATTCTTTCCTGCATATGCCTTGGTGTCCTCTGAAGAATCTATTGACCTAGAGCTGCACCCAGGTCAGTCTTTAGAGACATTCATCTTCATCTGAAGTCCTCCCAGTTTCACAAAAATACACTGACAGCTCAAGGAGTAAGTCTTCGTTTTCCCAGAAATGTTGCCATTTTAGCACTGACATGCTTGTATCTTGAGAAAACTCTCACTTCTAGGCACAGAGGGTCAGCTGGTCTCTCTCTCTGCTTTGATCATATCATGCAGCCATGGTTTTCCTCTCTTGCTTCTCTTATTCTCCTTTCTAGAGAGTCAGGATCCACTGTCCATCCTTCCAGAATTTCACATCACATTCCCTTTTTCACACTAATGTATTTCTTTTCGTGATTCAAAAGTGGGTTCATAAATTTCCCTCCTTTTGGAAGTCTCAATCTTCCTCATGTTGCTGATATTTCATTTGTACTTTTTGATTCCTGAATTTTAGACTCAATCTTTATGAAAGATTTACATATTTAAATATTTGTGATTGAAACTATAGTTCCTTTGTTTTTTCACACACTGAGTGTTTTTGGGAATTTCATAATTTGTCTTTTTACTTTGAACTTCCTTTATTAAGTTCTCAAATGATAGACTTTTTATGTAATTATGTCTAAATCCAAAACAATTACTTTCTTTTTCTCTAGTTGTCCCATTTAGACTGTTTTTCCCACTGAAACAGAATTTATTGTAGCAAAATGAAAATCTTCACTATTGTTCTGCCTGAAGTGTGGACTTCTTGACTCTGAGGGTGTTCAAGGCCAACCAAAGCAGGTTCCAAGTTGACCTTAGCACAACTGCATGTCCTTGAATACCTTAATCTGCATATTGACCAACCATGCCAAAACATGCTGGTTTCCGAACCAACTCACTGATCTTATTGTGTTTGTGTCTTGCATATATTATCCTTTTCAACAGGCCTAGTGCCCTCAGCATTTTGGGAAAGCCCTTTGCCACTGATACACAGTTCAGCATTGTGCATACTGAATGATGCAAGTGAAGCTCAGGTTTCCTCTGCATTAAACATTCTGAAATTTTTCCAACGGAGGGAGTTCTGCCACTTCAGATGTTCTGGTCATCTAAGATTATGTTTACTTTGTTAAAGCAATTTCATCTGGTATATTTCTATGTGAGTCTTTGGGACCTCATCTAGAGAATTAGTTGGAGATACTTAAATCCAATAGAAAAAGATTATTCTTATACTCCAGTACAAGAGAAGCCTCTTAAATAGTTGGGATGGAAGTTTTTGCAGCTTCCTTCAAGTGAAATGTTGGATTCCCCTTCTTCTCCCCTCCTTCAGCCAGAGGTGCAGCCTGTTACCTCTGTTATCACATGCCACAGAGGGGAGAGAACAGTGCCTGTGAGGTGACTTCTCATGCTTCTTCTGTGTGCAAGTGTTATTAGCATCTTAAGTCTCCACCGTAGGAGGTGTATTTTACTATGAAAAAAGCAAGGATTGTTTCAGGTCTAGTGTCTCTGTGACCCCATGCTATTGCTTAGGAAGAATTTCAAGCTCACCTTTTTTGTTGTTGTTTGTTTTTTTGTTTTTGAACAGAAGGAGTTGAAAGCTTTAAAATGTCACTTTTCACTTTCAGGAAACTGTTTATTGCCACAACTATATTCTAACAGTGTGAGTCAGGGCTCCTGCTCCTCTCAGACCCTGTGCCTTATATTTCAAGCCCCTCTGCCCCTGTGTCCTTTCAGTCCCGGTTATTTCATGCTCTTTGTTGAAAATTCTACTCTCTGAAGTCCTTGCAAGAATATAAATGTACAGTTGGTTATTTTGACTGACTTTCATGGTGACTTGTTGCTTGTGTGTTTAGTGATATTTTGCTTTTCAAATGTAGTGATCATATGGACCCGGAGGTGGGTCTCCTTCCTCCAGAGGTGATTTGCCTTCCTTTGGTTGCAAGCCAGTGGGACTGCTGCCAACTTAGTATCATATGAGCTTCCCCACTGAGCCTGGCTTCACATGGGAATTGGAGTTTCAGGTTCTCTATCTTGGATTATCAGATGTAGTGGCCCAGTTTTGGCCTTCTCAGACATTTGACCCCTGGGAAATTCCAGGTTTTGCTCTCAGTGCTCCCTTGTAGTTTGAGAGCAGTGTTTTGCTTTCCTGTTGTCAGGGTAACTCTGTTGGATATATCCTTTATTTACTTGAAAGCCCAACAATTACCTTAAAAGGAAATGTCTTATAATGTATCTAGAATCAAATAATATATCACTGGGTGTGTCCTCTAGAGTGAAAAGTCTACTCTATTTCTGGAAGTGTTATTCCAGTCTCCTGTAGAATCTTAGTTTTATTTCACTTTAAATGTTTTGCTTTGATTATTTGATAAATGTGTCTAATTTTTCTTAAACTATTGAAGGTTAAAGAAGTCAGGAGTTACAATTCATTCATCTTTGTATCTTCTGAACTTTGCATCAATGACAACTCAAAAAATGTAATGTGTAAAAAACTTTCCAATAAAATGAGATCCCAGTTTTTGATTCTTTGAAGTATTTCTCCTGAAGTTTGGTTTTGGTTCATAAACTCTCTGCCTACACCTATGTCTTCAAGATTTTTACCTACTTTCTCTTCCAGTAATTTTAGTATTTCTGTTTTAATATTTAGATCTTTGATCCATTTTGACTTTAATTTAGTGCATGGTGAAAGACATGGGTCTAGTTTTAGTCTTCAGCATGTGGAAAGCCAGTTTTTCCAGCACCATTTATTAAAGAGGCTATCTTCCTTCCATTGAACATATTTGGCCCCATTGTCAAAGATAAGGTGACTGAGTGTTTGTAGTTGTATCTGTGTCTTCTATTTTGTTCCATTGATCTTTAGGTCTGTTTTTGTGGCAGTACCATGCTGATTTTGTCATAGTAGCTTTGTAGTAGAATTTTAAATCAGGAATTGTGATGCCTCTTGCCTTTCCTTTGTTTCCCAAGATTGCTTTTGGTATTCTAGGCCTCTTCTGGTTCCAGATAAATTTTAGGAATGTTTTCTCTAGATCTGTGAGGTATACTAATGGTATTTTAATTGGGATTGCATGGAATCTGTACAACAATTTTGGGGGTGTGACCATTTTTACAATGTTGGTTCTTCCTATGCATGAGCAAGGAATATCTTTCCATTTTCTGATATCTTCTCAATCTTTTTCCCAAGCACCATAATTTTCACTGTATAGATCTTTTACTGCTTTTGTGAGATTGATTCCTAGGTATTTCATCTTTTAAGATGCTAATGTTTTGTTTATGTTTGCAATGTTGATATGATGCTGTTGTTCTTTTCTTCTTTCACTACTCTCTTTAAAATTAAAAAAAATAAATGTAATGTGAATCAGAGTAGACTATTTTATTGATAACATGATGTGGATGGGGAAGTTTGAACTGTGAATACATACAGTAGGAAACTTGAACCAGGGAGGGCACAGGAGGAGCAAGAGCCATATGAGGAGTGCTGTCCAGAGGAGTAGCCAAATGAGCAGATCCCTAATGAAACAACTTTCTTTCCCTTTTACCTGCATCCAATTTCTCAGCTTTTTGAGTAGTGTTTTATATTTCCCATGGTACCTTATAAAGCAGGCAATTATGATGTTTTATTTTTGTCTTAAATCAACTTAGTAATATGTACCCAAATGAAGATGTTGCCACTGTACAGTTAGGGCTTACTGTAGGTTGTTGCTGTCTGAGTAAACATAGTGCTCAGGCAGGGAAAGTGGCTCTGCTTGATGGCAGCTGTCATGTGGGGATCATTGCTACTATGACCTGGCTGCACCAGTACTGTCTACTCTTTCTTTCCCACCAAGTTGCCTGTATTGTAAATAATAGTTGCAGTTGCAGTTTTAATATAGTGATTGCAGTAGTACTTGTGTTTGAATTATAGGCTTCTATCTGGATGTTTGTTGCAGTGTTTGGGGGATTTCTCTCCTCTGTGACATTAGTGAAAAGGAAGCCTGTGCAAACTTCCTTTTGTGCCTGAAAGAAAGCGGATCCACCTGGTGCTAGTGCGTTATCTCATTTGCAATTGATGGAAACATGTGGCAAAGCTCTGGGAGGCCTAAGTCTGTCTCTTGCATGTATTTCATTTCTCGCAGTCGGAAGAATCCTCTTGGTCTCCTCATTGCCCTGGATGAGAACAAAGAAGCAAGAGGGGAGCTCTTCTGGGATGATGGTGAATCAAATGGTGAGTATGGTTCAAGAATATTTCTGTTTTCAAACCTTAATCCATGACTTACTGCACTTTGTTCCTGCTAGCCACCTACGTGTGGGAGAATTCTCTCTATTCCCATCAGTAAAAGTCAGCTGAGTGAAGAGTTTCCTTTGGTTTGTGTATTCAAGGCCAGAAATAGATACACCACAAATGTAAGGCAAACCCATTTCTATGTCTCAGATTTCTTCTGCAGGCCACTGAATAATAATAGACTTTCATTTATTATTAGTGGGCACCTGAAAGACAAGACTTGTAATTCATTTATAACCTAAGGAGTTTCCCTAAAAGTGCATGGGAACTAATGTTGAAGCAGGAAAAAAGCCATCTCAGTTAGGCAGTAAGAACATAGTTTCCTAAGGCATGTACTGCCTGATTTGTGCACATTTATCTGGACCCAGTATACTAACAGTTCTTGTGTCTTTAGCTTAGTAAATAGGTTGCCATAATGCATCTAACTTGCAAGCACTTGGAAGGAAATATTTTTTTTTTTATATATATATTTTTTTTATTTTAA